GACATCTAGGTCAATTGGCATAACAAAGCTTATTAAGAAAATTTTCTGCATCCTACTTTGGTGAGTGGCATCTGGGGTCTTAAAAGCTTGCAAGCTGCCATCTGAGATGCGTCAATTGGTCCCAACCATCTGGAGTAAAGGAGAATGAAGAACACCAAAGACACAAGGAAAGCATTAGCCCAAGAGACAGAAAGGGCCACATAAACTAGAGACTTCATCGTCCTGAGACCAGAAGAACTAGATGGTGCCCGGCTACCACCAGTGACAGGGAAGACAACAGAGAGTCCCTGATGGAGCAGCAGAAAGATGGGTTGCAGAACTCAAATTCTAGTAAGAAGACCAGACTTAATGGTCTGAATGAGACTGGAGGTACCCCGGAAAGCATGACCCCAGGATTCTCTTTTCAGCCCAGAACTAAAACAATTTCCAAGGCTAACTCTTCAGACAGGGATTGGACTGGACTGTGGGACATAAAGTGTTACTTGTGAAGCGTGTGCCTCTTAGTGAAGTAAATACAAGAGACCAAAGGGGCAGCTTCTGTCCAGAGGTGAGATGTGAAGGCAGAGAGGGTTAGGAGCTGGTTGAATGGACATGGGGAATCGGGCAGAAAGGAGAGGAGTGTGCTCTCGCAGAATGGGGTGAGCAATTAGGGTCACATAACAAGGTATGTATAAAATTTTCTCTGGGAGACTAACTTGAAATGTAAACTTCATTTAAACTACAACAATAAAAAAAAAAATGTACAAATTTGAGTTTGATGCCAGTGGTCTTTGTTTAGGGCTAACTGGTATCAGCTTGTTACGAAAAAGTAAACAACATGGGGCCAGTACGCAGGCCATCTTTGTCATTTCTGTAATACCTAGTGACTGAGGAGGGACAGGAGGAGACCATGGTGCTGTCCAGACAGCAGACCATAGGGCCTTGTTGGTCCTGGGCAGGACCTGGGGTTGGTTCTGCGTGTGCTGGGAGCCGCCAGAGGGTTACATCAGTGGAGAAGAGACAGAAAGGAGGGGGCCCTGACTGAGATAAGGGAGGTGGGGACAGAGGAGCCGCTTTTTCACTTGGGGGTAGGTGGGGTTGGAGTTGTTGATGTTAGATGCTGTTGAGTCACTTCCAACTCATAGTGGCCCTGCGTACAACAGAACGAAACACTGCCAGGTTCTGCACCATCCTCACAGTCATTTTTATACGTGAGCCCATTGTTGCAGCCACTATGTCAATCCATCTTGTTAGGAGTCTTCCTCTTTTTCACCCACCCTGTACTTCACCAGGCATGATGTCCTTCTCCAGGGACTGGTCCCTCCTGATAACATGTCCAAAGTATGTGAGACGAAGTCTCATCATCCTCGCTTCTAAGGAGCATTCTGGCTGTACTTCTTCCAAGACGGATTTGTTCGTTCTTTTGGCAGTCCACAGTATACTCAGTATTCTTTGCCAACACCATAATTCAAAGGCGCCAGTTCGTCTTTGGTCTTCCTTATTCAATGTCCAGCTTTCGCATGCGTATGAGGCGATTGAAAATACCGTGGCTTGGGTCAGGCACACTATAGTCCTTAAAGTGACATCTTTGCTTTTCAACACTTTAAAGAGATCTTTTGCAGCAGATTTGCCCGTTGCAATGCATTGTTTGATTTCTTGACTGCTGCTTCCGCGGGTGTTGATTGTAGATCCAAGTAAAATGAAATCCTCGACAGCGTCAGTCTTTGTTTATCGTGATGTTGCTTATTGGTGCAGTTGTGAGGATTTTTGTTTTCTGTATGTTGAGGTGTAATCCATACTGAAGGCTGTGGTTTTTGATCTTCATCAGTAAATGCTTCAAGTCCCCTTTACTTTCAGCAAGCAAGGTTGTGTCATCTGCATAACACTGGTTGTTAGTCTTCTTCAATCCTGATGTCCTGTTTCTTCTTCATATAGTCCAGCTTCTCGGATTATTTCCTCAGCATACAAATTGAATAGGTATGGTGAAAGGATACAACCCTGAAGCACACCTTTCCTGACTTTAAACCATGCAGTATCCCCTTGTTCTGTTCGAACAACTGCCTCTTGATCTATGTACAGGTTCCTCATAAGCACAATTAAGTGTTCTGGAATTCCCATTCTTTGCAGTGTTATCCATGATTTGTTATGATCCACCCAGTCAAATGCCTTTGCATAGTCAGTAAAACACAGGTAAACATCTTTCTGGTATTCTCTGCTTTCAGCCAGGATCCATCTGATATCAGCAATGATATCCCTCGTTCCACGTCCTCTTCTGATCCAGCTTGAATTTCTGGCAGTTCTGTATCGATGTACAGCTGCAACCACTTTTGATGATCTTCAGCAGAATTTTCCCTGTGTGTAATATCAGTGATATTGTTCGATAATTTTCACGTTTGGTTGGATCATCTCTCTTTGAAATAGGCATAACTATGGATCTCTTCCAGTCGGTTGGCTAGGTAGCTGTCTTCCAAATTTCTTGGTATAGATGAGTGAACTCTTCCAGCATTGCATCCGTTTGTGGAAACATCTTTTTATTTTTATTTTATGTTATTGTTGTACTTTAAGTGAAAGTTTACAACTCAAGTTAGTCTCTCATACAAAAATTTATACATACATTGTTACGTGACCCTAATTGCTCTCCCTATACTGTGACAGCACACTCCTCCTTTCCACCCTTGATTTTCTGTGTCCATTCAACCAGCTCCTGACCCTCTCTGCCTTCTCATCTCACCTCTGGACAGGAGCTACCCATTTAGTCTCATGTATCTACTTGAGCTAAAAAACACACTCTTCACGAGTATCATTTTATGTCCCATAGTCCAGTCTAATCTTTGTCTGAAGAGTTGGCCTCGGGAATGGTTTTAGTTTTGGGTTGACAGAGAGTCTGGGGGACACGCTTTCTGGGGTTCCTCCAGTCTCAGTCAGACCATTACGTCTGTCCTTTTTAGTAGAATTTGAATTCTGCGCCCCACTTTTCTCCTGCTCCATCAGGGACTCTCTGTTGTGTTCCCTGTCAGAGTGGTCATCGGTGGTAGCTGGGCACCATCTAGTTCTTCTGGTCTCAGGCTGATGCAGCCTCTGGTTTATGTGGCCCTTTCTGTCTCTTGGGGTGATACTTTCGTTGTGACTTTGGTGTTCTTCATTCTCCTTTACTTGTGGAAACATCTTAATTGGTATTCCATCAATTCCTGGAACCTTGTTTTTCACTATTATCTTCAGTGCAGCTTGGACTTCTTCTTTCAGTACTATCGGTTTTTAATCATATGCTACCTCCTGAAATGGTTGAACGTCAACCATTTCTTTTTGGTACAGTGATTCTGTGTATTCTTTCCATCTTCTTTTGATGCTTCTTGCATCATTCAGTATTTTGCCCATAGAATCCTTTACTGTTGCAACTTGAGGCTTGAATTTTTTCTTCAGTTTTTTAAGCTTGCGAAATGCCGACCATGTTCTTCCCTTTTGGTTTTCTAACTCCAGGTCTTTGCACATTTTATTATAATACTTTACTTTGTCTTCTTAGGCTGCCCTTTGAAATCTTCTGTGCAGCTCTTTTGCTTCATCATTTCTTCCGTTTGCTTTAGCTACTCTGCATTCAAGAGCAAGTTTCATAGTCTCTTCTGACATCCATTTTTGTCTTTTCTTTTTTTCTTGTCTTTTTAATGACCTCTTGCTTTCTTCATGTATGATGTCCTTGATGTCATTCCACAACTCGTCTGGTCTTCCATCATTGGTGTTCAGTGCGTCAAATCTGTTCTTGACATGGTCTCTAAATTCAGGTAGGATATACTCAAGGTCGTGTTTTGGCTCTTGTGGGCTTGTTCTAATTTCCTTCAGCTTCAGCATGAACTTGGATATGAGTAGTTGATGGTCTGTTCCACAGTCGGCCCCTGGTCTTATTCTAACTGATGATATTGAACTTTTCCATCATCTCTTTCCACGGCTGTAGTTGATTTAATTCCTGTGTATTCTATCTGGCGAGGTCCACGTGTATAGTTGCCGTTTATGTTGTTGAAAAAAGGTATTTGGAATGAATAAGTCGTTGGTCTTGCAAAAATCTATCATGCGATCTCCGGCACAGTTTCTGTCATCAAGGCCCTATCTTCCAACTACCGATCCTTTGTTTCCACCTTTCGCATTTCAATCACCGGTAATTATCAGTGCATCCTGATTGCATGTTTGATCAATTTCAGACTGCAGAAGTTGCTGAAAATCTTCAATTTCTTCAACTTTGGCCTTCGTGGCTAGTGCGTAAATTTGAATAATAGTCACTTGGGGGTGGGTGGAATTAGAGTTATGTGCTGTATTTGAGATCCAGTTAGACAGTCATGTGCATTTGTCTGGAAATCGACAAAGACGAGTCTGGAGCCCAGAGGAGAGTCAGGGTAAAATTGTAGGTGGCATTACTGCCACGGGATTTCTTGACATTATCCAAGGGAAGTGTTTGATTAGGGCAGAGAAGACCAGGGTCCAACTTCTAGCCGAAGATATTTCTCTGATAAAAACCTAACCTTGATCTTCAAGCCTAGGTTTGTGAGCAAGCGTTAGAGCTGGGACTGGACCTTCCTAATAGCCGGCATTTTAAAATGCTGCTTCTTAATGGGACTCCTAAGACCTTCAGAGCCACAGGCTTTACTCCCCACCGTGGCAGACACGTCAGCATCCCAAATCCCCATTGCTGTTGAGTCGATTCCGACTCATAGCGACCCTGTAGGACAGAATAGAACTGCTCCATTGGGTTTCCAAGGCTGTAATCTTTATGGAAGCACACTGCCACATCTTTCTCCTGCAGAGCAGCTGGTTGGTTCAAACCACGGACCTTTTGGTTAGCAGCCGAGCACTTTAACCACTTTGCCACTGGGGCTTCTTCATCAATATCCAAGAGGCCCCTTTTGCTAGAGTGCGCCTCCCTCCAGTCCCAGTCTAGACCGCTGGGGCACTCGCAGCCGAGCCTGCCCGTGGCCAGCACTCTGGCCCTGCCCGGTTCTCCAGCTTCATCTTCCCCCAAACCAGGCTGGTCTCCTTCCCACCCCATGCCCTCTGTACATGCCACTCCATCAGCCTGGCTTTTCCACCTCTGCTCTCCACATACCTGGCTTCTTCCAGTCCTCAGGCCCTCCCCACACATGGTCACAGCCCCGTGTCATAACTGTCCTGTTTCCCTGTGAACTGGTTCACAGTCTGTCTGCTTGCTCTGTGTCCTGCCCTGGACGGTGCCTGGCATGTGGGGGCACTTAGTGTCTTCTGGGGAGAAAGAAGGTGACTGGTAGGCTCAGGTTCATCCCCTCTCCCCATCTGCCCTCGTTTCTCAGGGTCTCAGTTTCTCTGCACTTACTGTGGAGTCAGCTCATCTCCACGTGTATCTGTCAGATAGTGAGACAAGAGGGGCGGCAGGGAGTGGTGGACGATGAGTGCTGTTTCACTGAGATTAGATGGGACACATGAATCAGAGAGGAAGTGAGACAGGCAGGTGTCTGGGGAAGGGTGTTCCAGGACCAGGGGCAGGCTATGCCAAGGTCCTGCAGCAGACGCTTGCTTTCCAACCCAGCACAGGGGGAAGGGGCCAGCGTGGCTGGAGTGGAGGTGGAGGGACCCAGCCTGCAGGTAGTGGCAAAGGTCAGGGGACAAGCCAGGTGCTGGACTTGTGCTTTTATTTGGATGAGAAGGGAGAGGCGCGGAGAGCAGCAACATGATCTGACACACATTTTGAAAGAACTGCTGGCTGCCGAGTGGAGAACAGATTGTTGGGGCCAAGAGGAAGCAGGGAGACCTTGGCAAGGGAGGCTGGGAAGGAGGGCAGCGGAGACATCATGCTTGGTAAAGCAGAGAATCAGGAAAAAGAGGAAGACCCTCAATGAGATGGATTGACACAGTGGCTGCAACAATGGGCTCAAGCATAACAATGATTGTGAGGATGGCACAGGACTGGGCGGTGTTTCGTTCTGTTGTACACAGGGTTGCTGTGAGTTGGAACCGACTAGACGGCACCTAACAACAGCAAGTTCCCAGGTGATGCTAATGCTGCTGGTTAGGGACCAATTCTGAGAACCACCATCAGAGCGATGGGTCTCGCAATGTATTATACATAAGAATCACCTGGGGATCTTGTTAAAGTGTAGATTCTGAATCTGTATATCTGGGGTGGAAATGCAAATTCTCAGCAAGGGGTTCGAATTGGAAGGAATTTTAACCTTTGTGTCTCATGCTTAGGTGATGATTGGAACGGCTCTTAACACAAGTGAGATGAAGAAGCTCATCACCCACATGGGCGAGATGGACCATCCCTGGAACTGCCCCCACGGAAGACCAACCATGAGACACATCGCCAGTTTGGATGTTGTTTCTCAAAACTAATCAGCGTTCTTATTTTATAGAATTATGGATTGTGTTGCAGATTCTTCTCTTTTGAAAGGCAGTGTTTTAACTAACAAACATTATCCTGAGTCCTTTGAAAAGGTCAAACCAGGTGGGGCATTGCTTGCAACATTTTTTTGTTACACATAAAATAAGGACTGTGGAAGCTCCCCAGACTTCTGCTCCGGTCTGATGTAATTTGGTCTCAGCTTTCAGCCTTTTATGGTGATTAAATTTGTGTTGGTTTAATTTCATGAATTTAAAATTATAGTCCTTTTGGTTTCATGGTTCTCAACCCTGATGCACACTGAATTTTAGAAAGTAATAATCCAAAAATGCAAGGGGACTACTCTTCCCTGCTAGAAGAAAATGACTTGAGTGGGACCCAGGTAACTCTTTGTAAGCGTTCCCCAGTGCAGCCAGTGTGGCAAAGCCCCATTCTAGGCAGGGGGAAATAAAAGATTTTGAATTTTATGTAACTTTAATACTGTGATTTGGTTTCCTTGGGTGTAACCTGTTGCTGTTACAGTTGTATGCTGTCGACTCTAACTTATAGAGACCCCATGTGACAGAGTAGAACTGCCCCATAGGGTTTCCTAGGCTGTAATCCTTACAGGAGCGGTTGCCAGGTCTTTTCTCCCGCAGAGCCACTGGTGGGTTTTGGGTTCAAACACTGTCCATCTTTCGACCTTTCAGTTAGCAGCCGAGTGCTTAACCGTTTATCACCACCAGGGCTCCTTGTGTGACCTTGGGATCTTCTCATCACTGCCCCTGAATGATACTGCAGATACAGTCCCTGCAGTCTTGTCCGATAGTTTTTTATGGAGTCTTGTCCCAAAAATGGACAAATGCTGTCGGTGGAATTCAAAGAGCAGTTGCGGTACAGTGAGGACACGTGTGGGCGCCCTTCCCTCACGTCATTCCAGACCATGGATCTGCTAGGAAAGGGGCTTCCATCCCTAAACTGAGAGTTTCTTCAATGTAATGAGAAGCAATAATTATTGCCACTTACTCTACCAGGCTGTATGCTGGTGTATCGTCTGCAGGATATCCTTTAATAACCACAAGAACCTGCAAGTTAGGCAGAATAACAGTACCCCCCAAAATGGCTGTGTCCTAATCCCCAGCTGCTGTGAGAATTTTGCCTTACTTGGCAAAGGGGGCTCTGCATGCGTGATTAAGGATCTTGAGACTGGAGAATGTTTTGGGTTACGCAGGTGGGCCCTGTCTAATCACACCAGTTCTTAAAAGTGAAGACGCTTTCCCAGCTGGGCCAGAGAGCCTTTGAAGATGGTTGAAGGGTTGCTAACCACGGGATACGGGGGCCTATAGAAGTTGGGAGAGGCAAGGAAGTTCCATGAGGAACCTCCCTGTCAGACTTTGACATAACTGCAAAGTAATGAATTAGTGTTGCTATAAGCCACTAAGTTTGCTGTAATTGTTCCAGTAGCAGTGGAAAACCAATGTATGAATTATTTGTGTTTCCCGGTGAAGAAACAGGCTGAGAGGCTACCGAGCGATTAGCTGAGCTGGGAGTACCCTGGTCAAGTGCATCCAACTCCAGATTCCAGGTCTTTCCACTCGGCCTTCTGGGCCAGGACAGAATACTGATTTTTAGCTGAGTTTTGGACGCGCCATGAGCAGACGCGGCGGCCCCTTTAAGAGAGTGAGGTGGGCGGAGCTGGGGGCGGTTCCTTTAAGAGCGCTGGGCGGGAAGGGTGGGTCAAAAACCAAAACGAAGCCGGTCGCCAGTGGAGCTGATTCTGACTCACCGAGAGAGAACTGCTCTATAGGATTTCCAAAGCTGTAATCTTTGAGGGTCGCCATGAGTCGGAATCGACTCGACGGCAACGGGGGTAATCTTTGTGGATGCTGGGTTAAGGGTCAGCAAAAGAAGAAGACCGTCAACGAGATGGATTGATACAGTGGCTGCAACAATGGGTCAAACATGGCAACGATTGTGAGGATGGCGCAGAACCGGGCAGTGTTTTTGTTCTGTTGTTCATAGAGTCTCTGTGGGTTGGAACCCACTCATAGTACCTAACAACAACAACAATCTTTAGGGAAGCAGGCTGCAACATCTTTTCTCCCGCAGAGGGGCTGGTGGGTTCCAACCGCTGACCTTTTGGTTAGCAGCTGGGCGCTTAACCACTGCGCCAGCAGCGCTCTTTGAGGGGTGGGCCAAAAAAAACAAACCCTTTGCCATGGAGTTGATTCTGACTCATAGCGACCCCGTAGGACAGAGTAGAACTGCCCCATAGGGTTTCTAAGGAGCAGCCGGTGGATTAGAACTGCCGACCTTTTGGTTAGCAGCCAAGCTCTTAACCGGTGCACCACAGGGCTCCTGAGGGGTGGGCAACACCCCCCAAAAGAGCGCGGGATGGGTGAGGTGGGCCGTGATCTCTTTAATACCATGGAGTGGGTGGGACCAGCACTGGTCCCTGTAAGAGCGCATGATGGGCGGAGGGGGAGGCTGCCCCTTTAAGAGAGCGGGATAGGTGGTGGGCGGAGGTCTCCTTGAGCCGGGCACTGTTGCGTCGGTGGCGGCCCCTTTAATAGCAGGATGTGGGCGGTAAGGCTAGCTGCACTCAGAAGGGCCTGAGAGGAGTGGGGTGCGGCCTTCCCTTTAAAAGCGCAAGGGGAGCAGGACTGTTGGTAGTTTCCCTAAGAGCGTGGAAATTGTGCGCGGGGGTGGGGTGGAGGGGGAAAGGGCAGCGGTCCCTTTAAGAGCGCGACGTGGGCGGGGTGGCCGTGGCGGCCGGTGGTGGTTGCCTGGAGACCGGACGCGGGCTGGCCCTGCCGCTTCTGCCCAGGCCTTCCCGACTCTCTGGGTCCGGAGCGAGGTGAATGAAAGGTTCTCTCTCCGCTGCTACCAGACATTACCAGACAGAGGCAGCCTCCTTGAACCTGAGCACGTGTGTGACGGGCAAGGAGGGCCCTTGAAACGGGAGAACAGTTCGGGGAGCCCATTTGTATTGCCTGGTGCAAAATAACACGGGGCTGTTTGCAACCAATACCGTCGTGTAATAACAAGGTCTTGAGCCAGGGAGAACGGAAAAAAAAAAAAAAAAAAACAGAAAACTGATAGGACACACACAATAAGAAACATAAACTGCTCTATTTGTAGTTTAAATCTCGCTGATAGAGGACCAGACAGTAAAGTCCTGACCGAGTTGGGAGTGAGGGCAGGTTGTCCTGGATCAGGGGTCCGGGCAGGCCTGGAAAGAGCCCTGGGACTTTGAAGGGACAGGCGCAGCAGGGCCGTGCTGCTCCACCTAGAGCTGGGATTGTGCTGCGGTGGGCAGAGGAGGGTGTGGGCACCCACTGCATGCCTCGGGCGGGCGTATGAAGATGGACCAGACCGTGCCTTGCGCTCCAGGTCTGTGCGTCCTGCGAGATGAACTGGGGCGCTTTCAGTGGGGCCAGTTCTGGAGGGCCCTGAAATCTGTGGCTTTGAAGCCCTACCCTCAGCTCTGTGTCCTTGGGCAAATTGTTAGCACATCGTTTCTTGTCTGGAATGTAAGAGGCGTTCAGTAAATGGTAGTACTGTATTAGAGAGTAGGCAGCCAGTGATTTCAAATTCAAAAACAGGGACGTGACATAAAATAATCACCTCATTTACTGAGCACTGGCCTTGCGTCCTATCCTGCACTTCTGGGATTTTCTGTGCATCGTCTCACTGAATCCTTATACCGAGAAAAGGTACTATTATTATGCCTATTTGATATCTGAGGCAGAACGAGACTAAGTGATTTGCTCAAGGATGCATGCTGGTAAGCGGCAGCACAGGAGCCTGAGCCCTGCTCTTGAGCTCTTTACTGTGCAGGCATAGTAAGAGAAGGGCTTGGGAGATATGAATTGGCAGGACACAGGACCTTAGAGAAGGTCTCTAGGTGGTGCAAACAGTTTGTGCTTAGTTGGTGTTTAGAACCCACCCAGCAGTACCACAGAAGAAAGGCCTGGCCATCTGCTTCTGTAAAGATTATAGCCAAGAAAACCCTATGGAGCTGTCCTATTCTGCAAACATGGGGTCCCCAGGAGTTGGAATTGATTCAGCTGCAGTGGGTACGGGCAGGACCTTAGAGGTTAGCCATTTTTCATTCATAGGATCACCCTTCTTACCGGAACACTATTTGAAAAGAGAAAATGTTAGACAGCTGATTCCAATTAAAAAAAAATGGTGGTTGTTAGCTTCTGTTGAGTTGGCCCCTGACTCATGGCAACCTATGCACAACATAACAAAATGCTACCGGGTCCTGCACCACCCCTATGATCGGCTGTGGATCAGACCGTTGTGATCCATACAGTTTTCATTGGCTGATTTTTGGAAATAGATCACCAGGCTTTTCTTCCTAGTCCATCTTAGTCTGGAAGCTCCACTGAGACCTGTTCAGCATCATAGCAATATGTAAGCCTCCACTGACAGATGGGTGGTGGCTATGCATGAGGTGCATTGATGGAAGAAAATAGGAACAACCAAAGCAATATGAAAATTGTATTATTTTTATACACTGTGATACTTGCAATTAATTTTTCAGATTTAGAATAATGACATTATGTTGTAAAGCTAAAAATTTAATAAGTGAAAACACCAAGTATTTATAAATAATTTTTATTTTTCAGATAAAACTCATCAGTGCTTTGAAACAGACAGCTCTCAAACAAAGGAATCATTTGACACATAAGTATATATATGTATAAAGGAAACTTAAAGTTTTCTAAAGGCAATGGTGAAAGAAAAGAAAAAAACAGATAAAAAAGGAGACAAGACGGCCCGCTCGCCTTCATCTATCAGTGATTATCCAGAGGTTTCCAAACAAGATGGCAGTGCCGTACGGCAAGAAATGTCCCCAAGTGCTGCCTCACAGTTGGAAAAACAGCCCAGTGAAACAGGACCCAAAAGAGAGTTGAAAAAAGAGGATGAGCAGAATGAAGACGCCACTCAATACGAAGAGCCCATTCTGACCAGACTCATAGTGGAAAGGTAATTTTAATGTGTGTACTAGCGTTTAATGGTTTGAGTTGGTCATTTTTTGAAATTTCACTTTTTTTCAAGGGTAGGAATCATCATCCTTTTTTTTGCCACCGAGTTGACTCTGACTCGTGGTAACCTCATATGTGTCAGAGTAGAACTGTGCTCCGTAGGGTTTTCAATGGCTCATTTTTCAGAAGTAGATCGCCAGGCCTTTCTTCTGGGGCACCTGTAGGTAGATGCAAACCTCCTGCCTTTTGGTTAGCAGCCAAGAAAGTTAACCATGTGTACCACCCAGGGATTCCCCTTATGCATTTTTTTAAATTGTGGTGAAAATATATACCAAAGCATTACTAATTCAAAGATTTCTACATGTAAAATTCAGTGACATTGATTACATTCTTCATATCATGCAAACATTCTCGCTATCCTTTTCTGAATTATCCCACTACCATTCATAAACTCAGTGCCCCCTTAGCAGCTCCACCTTTCCCCCTCCTCCCTCCCTTGGTAACCACTAATAATCTTTGTTTCTCATCTTGTATAAATGAGATCATACAGTGTTTGCCCTTTTGTGACTGACTGACTTCTCTCAGCATTATGTTTTCAAGGCTCATCCATGTGGTGGCATGCATTGGGACTTCATTTCTCTTCATGGCTGAGTAGTATTCCATTGTATAGATAGAACACATTTTGTTTATCCATTCGTCTGTTGATGGACATTCAGGCTGTTTCCACATTGGGCTGTTGTGAAAAGTGCTTTAATGAACCTTGGTGTATGGATTTCTGTTTGCATTTCTGCCTTCACTTCTTCTGGGTGTATACCTAGGACTGGGACTTCAGGGTCATATGGTAGTTCTGTATTTGACTTTCTGAGGAACTGCCAGACTGTTTCCCACGGAGGCTGCAATGGGTAAGGCGCTCATGCATTTTTACTCTCACCACATGGTTTCTCTTCCACCTCAGAAAGCCACTCCTGTTTTAAGGTGTGTCTGTGCTGTGCGGGCGAGCAGCCCATAGCCCCTGGACTGCTCCTTCATGACTCTGGGGGCTACCTCTTTCATGCTCCGTTTTCCACTGCTTTTCGATTGTCTGTTCTGTCTTGGAAATTTCTGCTCTTATTTACCTTTAAAGAGCTCAGCTGCTAACCAGTTGGTCAGCAGTTTGAATCCACCAGCCTTGGAAACCCTACGGGGCAGTTCTGCTTTGTCCTATAGGGTCACTATGAGTTGGAATCAACTCAATGGCAACGGGTTTGGTTTTTTTTAACTTAGAACATGCTTAGAAATGATAGATGAATTGTATCTAATCATATAAGATTTTTCTTCTTTAATTTGCTGATACAATGAATCATGTTCATAGATATTCTCTTATTGAATCTTCCTGGGATTTTTGGGATAAGCCCGTTTAGTCTTGATGATCACAAGCTCCTTGTGTTTTTCCCTTCACCTACCTCACGGCCTCATCCACCCAGTCCTGAGCTCAGAACCAGAGCACTGTGCTTGATCCAGGTCCCTAGGTGGTGCAAGTGTTTGCACTCAACTATTAACCTAAAGGTTGGTGGTTCGAACCCACCCAGCAGCACTGTGGAAGAAAGGCCTGGTGATCTGCTTCCATTAAGATTACAGCCAAGAAAATCCTATGGAACAGTTCTACTTGTTACACCTAGGGTTGCCATGAGCCAGAATCGACTAAAGGGCAACAGGTTTGATTTGGTTTGGGTTTTTGATCTGGAGTCCCTGGGTGGTGCCGATGGTTAAGGCACTCGGCTGCTAACCGAAAGGTTGGAGGTTAGAGTCTCCCCAGAAGCGTCTCAGAAGAAAGGCCTGTTGATCTACTTCCAAAATATCAGCCACTGAAAACCCTGGGGAGCGAAGTTCTACCCTGACACACATGTAGTCGCCGTGAGTCAGAGTTGACTCCACAGCCACTAATTTGTTTTTTTGTTCCTGATTTCTCCTTTCCCCATCAGCAAACCTTGCTGACTCTGTGTCCAGAATGTCTTAACCTTCGTTTCTTTTCCCTTCCATTTCCCCCACCAAGCAGTTGTCCGCCACCATGAGCTCTCGGTGCAACTGCAGCAGCTTCTTCACTTGTCTCCTCACAGCATCCGGCGGGATCTTTTTAACGCCTAAATCTGATCTTGTCCAACTCGCCTCTGAAAACACTCAGATAAGTCCTCATAGAGCTTTGGGTTTTATTCCAAGTCTTTCTCACAGCCTACAAAGCCCACCCTATCTGGCTTCTGCCCTTCCTCTCTTCTCCTTCCCTCCCGCCTCATTCCGTGTGTTCCAGCTGTACTGCTCTCCTTTCTGTTTGCTGAGCTGGAGATGCCAGGCTCTTCCCTGCCTCAGGCCCTTTGCACTTGCCTTTCCTCTGCCTGGGATTCTCTTCCCAGGGTCCTTCTCATGGCTGTTTCATATTGTTTGGGTTTCAGTACAAATCTTAACCTCAGAGAGGCCTTCACCCTGACCGCCTGTATAACAGTAGCCACTTCCTCATCACGCCCAGTCCCATTACCTGATTATCTTCCATAAAAACTGAACACGATCTGGAATTATCTTGCTCTTTTGCTCCCTTGTTTATTTTCTGTCTCCCCTTCATGGACTAGAAGCTCCTGAGGGCAGAAACGTTCCCAGCTTGTCCACAGCTCTGTCCCCGGTACTTAGAGGAGGAAGAGCCCCTCGTGGCATCGGACGTGTTTGTTGAGTGAATGAATGAGTGTGAGATATTACTTGTACCCCCTCAGTGATGCTAATTCCATGTTTTTAACCCTCTGTCAGTGAGGTTTGTTGGCATCATTCATTAGCTCGAGCTTTATCTCTTTGTAGCTACGAAGGGGAGAAAGTCCGTGGGCTGTACGAGGGTGAAGGATTCGCAGTCTTTCAGGGAGGTTGTATCTACCACGTGAGTTTTATATTTTGGGAACTGGTAAGGTGGGGAGGAGGGTGTGGGGTGATAGCTTTGGATTTGCATCTTCAGTAATGTCCATTGATTCTTCAAAAGAAACTGGAAATACTTTGTGCTGATTTTATTTTGAACTCTGACTACTTTATACTTAAGGTAGAAATATGCTTCTTTATAACTGGAGTGAGCATCCCTGGGTGGTGCAAATAGTTAAGCACTTGATTACTAGCCAAAAGGTTGGCGGCTCAAACCTACCCAGAGATGCCTCGGAAGACAGGCCTGGTGATCTGCTTCCAAAAGGTCACAGCCTTGAAAACCCTACGGAGTGCAGCTCTATTCTGACACTTACGGGGTCGCCATGAGTCAGAATTGACTCAACAGCAACTAAAAACAATATAACTGGAGTCGTCATTTTAAAAATTGTTCTTTTCCTGGTTTTTATTTATCATACCAACAGCATTAAGGCCACTTAACTAAAGAATGAATAAAGTCCCAGTCTCACCATCCTGTTGCCATAAACGTTTTCATTTTGCTAGCCCCTTTTATTTTTTGAATAAATGTATCAGCATTTTTACATATGTATATTAGTTTTGTAGATAACATTTTAAATCTTTTTTCACTTTATGAATCTCTCTGTATTGCTGCCTAGTTATCATAATTGTTGTTTTTAACATTACTTAGTGTTTTAATTTGTGATTTGTAACTGTTCATAATTGTTGGATGCATTATTGCCTTCATTATTAACGCCCTACTGAAGATTTTTATTTATTCATTTGTTCATTCTGATTATCAAAGAAATATGTGCTTATTATGGAAGGGCAAATTTTTGTAGTTGAGGTCATAAGGCATGAGTTTTAGTAGGCTGATTTTTCCCCTTAGCATTCAACATGTTCATTTTCATATGTCATAAAAACTCTTCAAAAACACCATTTATAATGGCTGAATAATTCATTAAAATACTGTTCATTATCATGAATAATATTCACTAAAATAACATTCATTAAAATTCATCCCTTAAAATGGCTATTCATTTACTATTCATTAAAGTGGAAAATAACATTCATTAAGACATTCATGAATATTCATGAAGTTCCACAACTTATCTGGCCTTTACTATGACATTCAAAGTGTTTCATATACCTGAGCAGTATCTTCTCTCATCCCTGGGGTGTTTATACATAGTCCTGATGTATGACCAAGGTCACTGGGGGATGCAAATCGTTTACACTCATCTACTAACCGAAAGGTTGGCAGTTGGAACTTGCCCAGTGGCACCATGAAGAAAAGGCCTGGTGATCTGTATCTGTTAAGATTACAGCCAGTATTTGCCTGGAGCAACAGAGGAAGAAGGAGAGTTAGAAATAAGAGGAGGAAATGGAATGTGTGGCTAATTGTCTCCATGAACAACTGCCTCCTTTGCCATGAGACCAGAAGAACTGGAAGGGCCTGAGCTACCATTACTGAATGTTTTGATCAAAGATTCTATAGAAGAATCCTGATCAAAAGGGGGAAAATATGGAACTGAATTTCAAATTCTTCTGGAATCCAGACTTTCTGGAGCCATTGAGGCTGGGTGAACCCCTGAATATAATCTTTAAACTTTAAACCAAAAACATCCCCTGAAGTCTTCTTAAAACCAAATGATAGCTTAACTAGTAAAGAATGTCTGCCTTGAACATTCTGCCCTTTTGAAGAATTATCTATATGGGATCAAATTGACTACAGCAACTTGAAAGATTATATAGGAAACTTAGGGGGCAGTGAGTTTATGTTAATGAGTAGGAACAATTCAGAAAAGGAGGGTGAGAATGGTTGCACAACTTGAATGTAATCCATATCACTTGAATTGTATATGTAGAAATTATTGGTGTATGTCCTGCTGTGTCTATTAACAACAACAAAAAGAAATAAAGATTCCAGCCAAGAAAACCCTATGGAGCAGTTCTACTCAGTAACGAGTCAGAGTTGACTTGCTGGCAACAGGTTTGGTGTATGTACAGTTCAAAACCACACCCAGTGCTCAAGTACTGCTTGGACTCATTACAGAATACACCCTGTCCCAGGCTACTGAAGACAGGATTGTAGCTCTTACAGCCCCAAAGGTGTCTGTCTCAGTGCTGTTGGGGATGCAGTTCCCTGGTCACTCAGCATGGACGGCCTATCCCCAACACCTTCTGTTGATAGCCGATCGCATCCATACCCACTGCCAGCTGCTAGCTTTGTAAACTTCCAATATTTTCCTTCAGCTCAAATTATCTGGATTAAAATTGTCAGAAGAAAACATCTGATCAATAAGTCAATTATAAAGGCTTTATTGGTTGGAAAAAACTTGAGAACAGGGAACACCACTCCAAAGAGATAAGCTCAACACATTATAATTTTGATTTGCTTATATACAGTACAGACTGTTAGGGGAATTCCCCAAAGGGAAATTTACAATGATTGGTTGCTATTCACTTAATTGCCTGGTGGCATCTTGGATTGGTTTATTAGTTTATGTGTCTGCATTCTATAGGCTGTTGTTAGGTGCTGTTGTTGTTAGGTGCTGTCGAGTCTGTTCTGACTACTAATGACCCTATGTACAACAGAATGAAGCACTGCCGGGTCCTGCGCCATCCTCACAATCATTGTTAATGCTTGAGCCCATTGTTGCAGCCTCTGGTCAATCCATCTCATTGAGGGTCTTCTCTTTTTCGCTGACCCTCTACAGGCTAGTTAGGGCCTATCTAATGATTTAAACTTTCCCCAGAACTGTCTTTATCACGAGTTTTTCGTTTCTGTGAAGGCAGTTGAGAGTTAAATTTAACCTGAGAGGAACCTGCTCCTTAGAACAGCAATTATACGAGATCACAAGGGCAAAGATGAGAAGGCAGGAAGAGGTAGCAATTCGGGATGAAAGGAAATGGGGAACCTAGGACAGAAATGGGAGTGCTGACACATTGTGGGGAATGAAACTAATGTCATGGAACACTTTATGTACAAACTATCAAATGGAAAACTAATTTGCTCTGTAAACTTTCACCTAATGCACAATAAAATTTTTTTTTTTAAGTTTAAATTTGTATGGGGGGAGAGAGATTTTCTTCAACAAAAGTAATGATCGGTTGGATCCCTTTTAAATTGTTTTCTGGTTTCTGTACCATGTGTTTTCTGCTTGCGTTTTCACACATGCGACTCCTGGACAGTCTTGAAATGCAAGCAGAAGCGAGAATTTGCTGCTCTTGTTGCCTCATGTGAGGACAACTGATGTTCTGTGTGTTGGTACAGATGTTCAATTCCCAGAGCACTTACTACCTGGGGGCTCCAGAGGGTACACTCACGTTAGGCTGTGCTGGGGCAAAGGAGAAAGATCCAGTGAATCGCTCAGTAACGCCAAGTCCAGGGATGCCCAGACCACACTGGTCACGTGTTTATCTAAAGACAGACAATAAAAACAAATGTTTCATGAAACAGCACTTAACCCTTACCATGTAGATGCCTGGCCATATCTTCTAAGCCAGTTGCTGTTAAGTCGATTCCAATTCATGGTGACCCCATATGTGTCAGAGTAGAACAGTGCTCCATGCGGTTTTCGATAGCTGTGATCTTTTGGAAGTAGATCGCCAGGACTTTTTTCCAAGATGTCTCTGGGTGGATTCGAATTGCCAACCGATCGGCCAACCTTTTGGTTAATAGCCAATCACTTAATCATTTGTGCCGTGCAGGGGCTCCATTTTCTATTCCAGTTTGTTAAAAAGAAAACTGCTGATGGTTGGTGAATGTGCTAAATTGATTTAATAATAAGAGTCATAGGCTGCAGTTTGAAAAACACTGGGCTGCCCCAGTTTTCCTGTGTGCCAACGAGTCCATGTGAACCTGGATTAATAATATAATTTGTCTTTATGGTAGTGAAGTTGTGTGTGTGTGTGTGTTGTTAGCTGCCACTGAGTTGGCCCCTGACTCATGGCAACCCCAGGGTGGCTGTGCATGAGGTGCATTGGCCGGGAATCAAACCCTGCATGGATGGCGAAAATTCTACCACTGAACCACAGTGGTTCTCAAAGTGTGGTTCCTGGAACCAGCAGCAGCAGCATCACCTGGGAAGTTTTTAGAAATGCAAGTTCTTGGACCCCACCCCAAACCAGCTGATGAATCACAATCTCTGGGGTGGGCCCAGCAAGCTGTGTTTGAACAAGCCCCGCAGGTGGTTCTGATGCCCGGTAAAGTTTGAGAACCACTGAGTTAGGGCACTGCTCATGTAGACTCATCTATCTTGGTTCTCTCCTTCACCCACCCTGTTGCTACCCAAGCGATTCTAAGAAAGAACTGGAAGTAATTTTATCAGTGTTTACTCTGATTGCATTTAGACATTCAGTGTATTCAGTTTCTAGGGCTAGTCCTATGTGTTAACAATAGACACTAAATGTAAATTACATATTTTTAACTTTACTGGGAGTCCCTGGGGGGTGCAAATGGTTAACGTGCTAGGCTGCTAACCAAAAGGCTGGAGGTTCGAGTCCACCCAGAGATGCCTCAGAAGAAAGGCCTGGCTATCTACTTCTGAAAAATCAGCCATTGAAAACTCTATGGAGCTCAATTCTACTCTGACACACGTGGAATTGCTATGAGTTGGAATCAACTTAATGGCAACTTTTTTCTTTTAATACAGTGTCCCAGTAAGGGAAAACAGACAGAAAGTGTGAAATTTACAAATATAATAATTTCTGTTTTTAGATAGTAGTTTTAATCCATTATATCTAGTTTAAGTAATTTTAAAAAATCCTTCAATGTTGAAATGCAAACCCAAAAGTATATTAATTCTTTTGAAGTATAAAGTTTTCCAAAGCTTAATTAGGAAAGGAAGTCTGAGATAGAATTTGATTCTTAAATTTTATTTTTATCTTCTGCCCCATTGACTGTTCAGGAGTGCCATGGATTGAATTATGTCCTCCCAAAATATGTGTCAACTTGGCTAGGCCATGTTTCCCAGCATTGTGTGATTGTCCGCCATTTTGTCATCTGATGTGATTTTCCTGTGTATTGTAAATCCTACCTCTATGATATTAATGAAGTGGGATTATTGGCAGTTATGTTAATGAGGCAGGACTCAATCTACAAGATTAGGTTGTGTCTTAAGGCAATCTCTTTTGAGATATAAAAGAGAGAAGCGAGTAAAGAGACATAAGGACCTCATACCGAGACATGGGGACCTCATACCAAGAAACAAGAGCCAGGAAAATAGCACATCCTTTGGACCTGGGGTTCCTGTGCTGAGAAGCTCCTAGACCAAGGGAAGATTGATGACAAAGACCTTCTCCCAGAGCCAACGGAGAGAGAAAACCTTACTCTGGAGTTGGCACCCTGAATTTGGACTTCTAGCCTTCTAGATTGTGAGAGAATAAATTTCTCTTTGTTAAAGCCATCTGCTTGTGGTATTTCTGTTATACAGCACTGGATAACCAAGACAAAGAGTAAGAGTAATCAGTGCTAAGTAGAGCTTTGGATCACTCCATGTTGTTGTTGGTTGCTGTTGAGTTGGCCCCCAACTCATGGTGACCTCTTGTGACAGAGTAGAACTGTGCTCTGTAGGGTCTTCTTGGCTGTCATCTTTATGGAAGAAGATCTCCAGGCCTTTCTTCTGTAGAGCCACTGGGTGGGTTCAAACTACCAGCCCTTCTGTTAGCAACTGATTGCAAACCACTTGCACCACCCAGTATCTTTCAGATAGAAATTTGCAACTCAGTTTTTAATGACAACAAAGGACTGTCTGGTGGAAACTTTAGGGAATTGAAATTTTTCTGGACCCCCTCCTTAGATCCTCGTTAGAACAAGATAGTCTACAGAGCAATGCCAGCTTGAAGTATCTTACTCACATTGTTGACTGTGTAGACATGCCCATCCACACACATGTATACGTAATCTGTAAGAGAGAATAAGGCTCCATTCTAAGAACTGAAACTGTGGGCGGCAGGTGGGGTGTAAAATAAACAACTGTGTTCTAAGGGCGTTTTTTGGTGTTGTTGCTATTTTTTGTTTTGCAGGGTATGTTTTCAGAAGGACTCATGCATGGACAAGGGACGTATATTTGGGCTGATGGGTTGAAATATGAGGTAAGCATATAAGAAGTTATAGTTCTAACATAATTGTGAAAAATGAATGTTCAGTTTTCCTCATTAAATATGCTATTTACAAAAATGTAATTCAGCTCACCAGTTAAGGAAAATTCACAGAACCAAAGAATATAGGTGAAAAGTAACTCGTGACTGCGTTGGACCCTCGGGTAACAGTTAACAGTTTCGTTTGAACATTCTAGAGTATTTTTTGTATACTGTGTACATAGACGCACACATACATGTGTTTAGCCCCTCCTCCTTTAAAATACTTCATTTTTTAGAGCAGTTTTAGATTTACAGAAAAATTGTGCAGAAAGTACAGAGTTCCCAGATACAAGGTTTCTCTTGCTGTTACCGTCTTGCATCCGTGTGGTACACTGGTTACCATTAATGAACCAACATTGACACGTTATTCTCATCTGGGAGCCCTGGTGGTGCAATAGTTAGCAGCTAGGCTGCTGACCAAAAGGTCGGCAGTTCAAATCCACCAGCTGCTCCTTGGGAACTCTGTGGGGCTGTTCTACTCTGTCTTGTAGGGTCCCTGTGAGTTGGAATTGACTCGACAGCATCGGGTTTAGGTTTTGGTGATTATCATCTAAGGTGCATAGTTTACATTCGGGTTCACTATTTGTGTTGTACAGTCATGGGCTTTTAACAAATGCATAATGTTCTGCGTCCACCACTGCCATATCATACAGAATGGCCTCGCTGCCCGACAAATGCCCTGAGCTCCACCTGTTCATCCCTCCCCTCCCCCTGAGCCCCTGGCAACTATTGAACTTTTCACTGTCTCTCTAGTTTTATCTCTTCCAGAGTATCACGTGATTGGGATGATACAATATGTAGCTTTTTCAGACTGGCTTCTTTCACTTAACACTATGCATTTAAGTTTCCTCCATGTCTTTTTGTAGCTTGATAGCTCATTTCTTTTTATCATTGAACAATACTCCGGTGAATGGGTATACCATAGTTGTTTATCCAGTCACTCCTCTTACTTTTTAAAAACACAAATAGTTTATTATACACTCTCTTCCTCTTCCGTACCTTTTTTTTTTTTAATGGAAAATCAAACCATGTCCATCCGTACAGAATGAACTGTTTTTACTGATTGCCTATATAGCATTATGTGGATTTCACTTAACCCTCTCGCTGGGCTGAGGGGAATGTGTATTTTTAAGCTGATTGCTAGAACCAAATTGCTCTCCCAAAGAGGCTGTGCCAGTTTATACTCTCACCTGCCAGAGGAGTGAGGGCATGAAGCGCTATTCTAAAAACTGAAAGTGCAGAGCTGCTAACTCCTTGATGTTTATAAGTGGTAGTGGAGACGTTTTTAAGACACATTCACATCCTGCATTTGTTTCAGTAAGAGGCGTAGGAAGAAAGCAGAGGAAGTTTGGGCTGGCGGTCAGCTAACTGGGGCTGGACTGGGGGAGTCAGGAGAGCGAGGACGGGGTCAGCCTTCACTGTCACGTGTGGAAGAGCGCCTCCAGGGTCAGGAGTGGGGGGTGGGTTCTGAGGATTGGGTCCTAACACCAGTCTTTCTGGAGAAATCCTTTCCTTCGCGATATCCTGCCTCTAGCCAGTGGCCGACGTTTAAGGCTTCTGATGACTGAGTGGCAGTTTGCCAAGGAGTCCCCTCTGGTTCACTGTTTCTGGAAACTCACCTTCCATGTGGTCTCAGGCAGGGTCATTAGGATGCAGGCAAGTAGCCCCTGCGCAGTCCAGTCTGGAGGGCCTCTGGGCAGAATTTGGGCCTCCTGCAGAAGCATCTCCAGGGAGGTAGCTGGCCCTCCTGGGATCTGGCCAGGGGTTCAGCCACTGCCTTCTTGCTGGCCAGGCTGCCCTGTCTTTGCTGTCCGGCTGACTGCAATGAATTTAGACTCTTGGGAGAGAATCCATGGCTCTGGCAGCCGGGCATTGCCCTGCGATACTCAGCAGATACCCTAGGCCCAGCAGAGCAGACTCTCTAGAAGATGCCCATGGGGCAGGCCACTGACAGCTGTGTCTGCAGAGTCTCAGATGAACCACAGGCAGAAAGAAGAGTTTATATTCGTGAGCACTAAGCCTGGCTAATATCAGAACCTCCTGGAGGGAGCTTTGAGCCAGTTGCTGTCAAATCAACTCCAACTCATGGCGACCTCATACGTGTCACAGTAGAACGGAGCTCCATAGGGTTTTCAATGACTGAGTTTTTGGAAGTAGACTGCCAGGTCTTTCTTCCAAGGTATCTCTGGGTGGACTTGAACCTCCAACCTTTTGGTTAGCAGCCGAGCACATTAACCATTTGCGCCACCCAGAGACTCCAAAGGGAGCTTTGGAACCCAGTGAATTAGCCTCCTTAGAGGTAGGTTGCAAGAACCTGTCTTATCTTCAAAGTTCCCAAGGTCAGGATTGGAAGCCACCACTGTACCCTGCCACCTTCTTGGCTGCTGGGAGTTTAGTCTGCACACCTTATAGAGCTTTCATTCTGCCTGGTCTTCTATGCAATTGAGGATGGGGGGGTGGTGTAGGTAAGGAAGGAGGAGGGAAGCTGGGATGAACTCATCGTTCCCATGGAGGAGAGTCAGGAATAGCACCCGCAGTCAAGGCGGTGTCTTGAACAGCCCACAGGGTTTAGGGTCTCTCCACTGCCCTTCTTGTGCCCCTCTCCTGTTTTGCCCCAGGGGGACTTTGTGAAGAACATCCCCATGAACCATGGTGTGTACACATGGCCAGATGGCAGCACCTACGAGGGAGAAGTGGTCAACGGCATGCGGGACGGATTTGGGATGTTCAAGTGCAGCACACAGCCTGTGTCCTACATCGGCCACTGGTGCAATGGCAAGAGACATGGGAAGGTCGGTGAGGCAAGACGGGGTCCCATCTGGGAGCAGACGTGCAAGCTCGGGGGGCAGGAGTAGGAGCTGTTAGGGGTATATTCTCTTCTTAAAAATTAGGATGAAATTCACATAATATAAAATCAATCATTTTAAAGAGAGCAATGCAGTGGTGCTGAGTGCATTCACCTGGTGTGCAGCCACCCCCTCTCTCCAGTTACAGAACATTGTCATCACCCCAGAGTAAAACCCCGCCCCCAGGAAGCAGTCACTCCCCACCCCACCTCCCCCAGGTCCTGGCAACCACTGCTTTCTGTTCGTAGGCATTTGTCTATTCTGGAGATTCCATATAAGTGGGATCATATGTGACCTTTTGTGTCTGTCTTCTTCCACTCAGCATCACGTTTTTGAGGTTCATCCACATTGTCACATGTATCAGAACTTCATTCCTTTCTTTGGCCAAATATTCCTTTGTATGGATGGACCACATTTTGTTTATTCATTCATCTGTTGATGGACACTTGGGTTGTTTCCACCTCTTGGCTATTGTGAATAATGCTGCAGTGAGCATTGGTGTACACATCTATTTGAGTTCCTGCTTTCAGTTCTCTTGGGTCGATACCTAGGATTGGGATTGCTGGGTCATATGGTGGTGGTGGTCGTTGTATACCGTTGAGTCGATGCCAACTCTTGGCAACCCTATAGGATGGAGTAAACTGCCCCATAGGGTTTCCTAAGCTGTAATCTTTATGGGAGTAGATTACTAGTTCTTTCTCCCTTGAAGCCTCTGGGTGGGATCGAACTGCTGACCTTTCAGTTATCAGCCGAGAGCTTAGCCATTGTGCCACAAGGGCTCCTTTCTGTAAAGATTACAGCCTAGGAAACCCTATGGGGCAGTTCTACCCTGTCCTACAGGGTCGCGGTGAGTTGGAATCAACTCAATGGCACCTAACAACAAGATGGAAAGGTTGTAGTGTGTTCACTTAGACTATGAGGCAGTAAAATAAGTAAAATGTCAAAGTGGATACAGTGAAAATGGTTTTGGTACATAACAGTTCATGGGAAACAAACAAACAAAAAACCCATTGCTGCTGAGTCATTTTGACTCATGGTGACCCCATGTGCTACAGGGTAGAACTCCTCCACAGATTTTCTTGGCTGCAGTCTTTGTTGAAGTAAATCGCCCAGCCTTTCTTCTGCAGAGCTGCTGAGTGTGTTCTAACTGCAGACTTTTAGGTTAGTAGTTGAGCACAAACTGTTTATGCCACCCGGGTACCTCTCAGTTATAGGGAGGCTGCTACTATTCAGTTTGTTGTTAGGTGCTGTCAAGTTGCTTCTGACTCATAGCGACTCTATGTACAACAGAACGAAACACTGGTTGGTCCTGCACCATCCTCACAATCGTTGTTGTGCTTGAGCCCATTGTTGCAGCCACTGTGTCAATCCATCTCATTGATGGTCTTGCTCTTTTTCACTGACCCTCTACCAAGCATGATGTCCCTCCTGATAACATGTCCAAAGTATGTGAGACATAGTCTCACCATACTTGCTTATAAGGAGCATTGTGGTTGTACTTCTTCCAAGACAGATTTGTTCATTCTTTTGGCAGTCCATAGTATATTCAATATTCTTCGCCAACACCACAATTCAAAGGCGTCAGTTCTTCTTCGGTCTTTCTTATTCATTGTCCAGCTTTCACATGCATATGAGGTGATTGAAAACACCATGGCTTTGGTCAGACGCAGCTTAGTCTTTAAGGTGACATCTTTGCTTTTTAACACTTTAAAAGGGCGTTTTGCAGCAGATTTGCCCAATGCAATGTTATTTGATTTCTTGACGGCTGCTTCCATGGGTGTTGATTGTGGATCCAAGTAAAATGGAATCCTTAACAACTTAAGTCGTTTCTCCCTTTATTATGATGTTGCTTATTGGTCCAGTTGTGAGGATTTTTGTTTTCTTTATGTTGAGGTGTAATCCATACTGAGGGCTGTGGTATTTGATCTTCATCAGTAAGTGCTTCAAGTCCTCTTCACTTCCAGCAAGCAAGGTTGTGTCATCTGCATAACGCAGGTTGTTAGTGAATCTTTCTCCAATCCTGATGCCCCATTCTTCTTCATATAGTCCAGCTTCTCAGATTATTTGCTCAGCATACAGATTGAATAAGTAAGGTGACAGGATACAACCCTGACCCATACCTTTCCTGACTTTAAACCACGCAGTATCCCTTTGTTCGAACGACTGCCTCTTCATCTATGTACAGGTTCCTCATGAGTACAGTTAAGTGTTCTGGAATTCACATTCTTCCCAATGTTACCCATAATTAGTTATGATCCACACAGTTGTGTGCCTTTGCATAGTCAGTGAAACACCAGTAAACATCTTTCTGGTATTCTCTGCTTTCAGCCAGGATCCATCTGACATCAGCAATGATATCCCTGGTTCCACATCCTCTTCTGAATCCAGCTTGAATTTCTGGCAGTTCCCTGTCAATGTACTGCTGCAGCTGCTTTTGAATGATCTTCAGCAAAATTTTACTTGCGTGTGATATTAATGATATTGTTCGATAATTTCCACGTTCTATTGGATCACCTTTCTTTGGAGTAGGCATAAATATGGATGTCATATCGTTTTCCAAAATGGTTGTACCATTTTGCATTCCTGGGAGCAATGCATAAGAGTTCCAGTCTCCCTGCAACCTCTCCAACATTTGTTATTTTCTGTTTTTTTTTTTTGATTCATGCCTGTAATGTCAGGGTGAGATGGTATCTCATTGTAGTTTTGATTTGCATTTTCTCTAATGGCTAGTGATTGCCAGCATTTCCTCATGTGTCTGTTAACTGCCTGAATGTCTTCTTTAGTGATGTGTCTGTTCATATCCTTTCTCCATTTTTTAATTGGATTATTTGTCTTTTTGTTGTTGAGGTGTTGAAGTATTTTATAGATTTTAGAGATTAGAACTTTGTCGGATATGTCATAGCCGAATTTTTTTTTTACCCAGTTTGTAGGCTCTCTTTTTACTCTTTTGATGAAGTCTTTTGATGAGCGTTAAGTGTTTAATTTTTAGGAGCTCCCAGTTATCTAGTTTATGTTCTGGTGTTTATGCATTGTTAGTTATGGTTTGTATACTATTTATGCCATGTATTAGGGCCCCTAACATCCATATTTTCTCTTCCATGATCTTTATCGTTTTAGGTTTTATATTTAGGTTTTTGATCCATTTTGAGTTAGTTTTTGTGCATAGTGTAAGGTATCGGTCCTGTTTCATTTTTTTTGCAGATGGACATCCAGTTTTGCCAGCACCATTTGTTAAAAAGACTGTCTTTTCCCCATTTGATAGACTTTGGTCCTTTGTTAAAGATCAGCTGACCGTAGGTGGATGGATTTATGCCTGAGTTCTCGATTCTGTTCCGTTGGTCTAAGTGTCTGTTGTTGTACTGGTATCAGGCTGGTTTGACTACCATGGTTGTATAGCAGGTTCTGAGGTCAGGTAGTGTGAGGCTTCCTACTTTGTTCTTTTTCTTCAGTAATACCTTGCTTATCCTGGGCCTCTTTCTTTTCCATATAAAATTGGTGATTAGTTTTTCCATCTCGCTAAAGAATGCTGTCAGTATTTGCATCAGGATTGCATTATATCTGTAGATCACTTTGGGTGGAGTTGACGTTTTCACACTGTTGCGTCTTCTATCCATGAGCATGGTATGTTTTTCCATTTCTGTAGGTCTCTTTTGGTTTCTTGTAGTAGTGTTTTGTAATTTTCTTTGTATAGGTCCTTTACATCCCTGGTCAGATTTACTCCTTAAGTGTTTTATCTTTTTAGCGGCTGTTATAAATGTTACTGTTCTCCTAATTTCCTTTTTGAAGTTCTCTTTGTTGGTGTCTTAGGCTGCGTTCTCTAGAGAGGCAAAACCAGTAAAGCGCTGACAGATTTGAACTGCTGACCTTTTGGTTAGCAGCTGAGCTCTCAACCACTGTGCTACCAGAGCTCCAGATATATATATAGAGAGATGAAGGAAATGGCTTACGCAGTTGTAGAGGCTAGAATGTCGCCAGTCTGTGGGTCAGGCTGGAGGATCCTCCTGATTCATGTAGCCATAGGGGCTGGTGAACCCACAATTGGCAAGTCAGACAGCAGAACTCTTGGTCACAGGCTGCAAAGACCAATGAATCCCAAGATTGGCAGGCAAGACAGCAGGTAAGCTGCTAACTCAAGTGCCAAGAACTGGAGGTCACACGAACAGGAGCCAGCTGCAGAATCCAGAGGGAGCAAAAGCCCAGGAGCCTTGCTAGAAAGTCTACTTATATTCAATGCAGACTACACCACCAAGGAAACTCCCTTTCACCTGATTGGTTACTCACAGAAGATCCTCTCATGGAAGTGATCACATTATATCAAATCTCATTATAGAAGTGATCACATCATCATACAACAGCCAAACTACATCATAACTGCCAAACCACTGAAAATCATGGCCTAGCCAAGTCAACACACAACCTTAACAATCATAGTTGATGTAAATAATCCAGCTGACTTTTGTATGTTCATCTTGTATCCTGCTACTTTACTGAATCTTTCTGTTAGTTCCAGTAGTTTTCTTGTGGAATCTTTGGGATTCTGTATGTATAATGTCATATAATCTGTGAATAGGGATAATTTTACTTCTTTGTTTCCAATTTGGATGCTCTTTATTTCTTTTTCTTGCCTCATTGCTCTAGCTAGGACTTCTAGCACAATGTTAAATAGGAGTAGTAATAAAGGGCATCCTTGTCTTGTTCCTGTTCTCAGAAGGAATGCTTCCAGCCTCTCTCCATTGAGAATGATGTTGGCTGTTGGTTTCATATAGATGCCCTTTATTATATTGAGGAATTTCTCTTCTATCCCTATTTTATTGAAAATTTTTATCAGGAATGGGCGTTGGAGTTTATTAAATGTGTTTTCTGCATGGACTGAGATGATCATGTGATTCTTTTGTTGTGTTTATGTGGTGAATTACAGAAGATTGGTATCAGGGTTATGCTGGCTTCATAGAATAAATTCAAGATTATGCCTTCCTTTGTCATGCTCTTAAATAGTTTGACTAGTACTGGTGTGAGCTCTTCTCTGAATGTTTGGTAGAATTGTCCAGTGAAGCTGTCTGGGCCAGGGATTTTTTTTATTGGGAGTTTTTTTTTTTTTTTATTACCTCTTCAATCTCTTCTCTTGTTATGGGTCTGCTCAGATTTTCTATCAGTTTGTGGTAGTTTAGGTAGGTAATTTCTGCTCTTATCTTTATTATTTCCTTTTTTCTGGTGCCTGTGGGCTTCTTTTGCTGTTCTGTTTCTATTTGTTTGAGCTGTAGTGCTAATGTTTTGATTTTGGCCCTTTCTTCTTTTTTGATGTGTGTGTTTATTGCTATAAATTGACCTCCGAATGCTGCTTTTGTTGTGCCCCAAAGGTTTTGGTATGATGTGTTTTCATTCTCATTTGTTTCCAGGAATTTTGTGATTCCCTCTTTGATTTCTTCTGTTACCCAGTTGTTTTTAAGCAATAGGTTATTCAGTTTCCCATGTATTTGATTTGTTTTCCTTGTTCTTCATGTTAGTGATTTCCACTTTTTTGGCGTTGTGATCAGAGAAAATATTTTGTTTTATTTTGATGTTTTGGGTTTTATAGAGAGTTGCTTTATGGCCTAAAACATGGTCTATTCTGGAGAATGCTCCATGTGCATTGGAAAGAATGTATACTTTGCTTTTGTTGGGTGTAGTGGTCTTTATATGTCTTTGAGTCAAATTGGTTGATTTTGGCCTTTAGATCTTCTGTATCTTTGTTGAGTTTCTTTCTAGATGTTCTGTCCGTTACCAAGAATGGCGTGTTGAAGTCTCCTACTATTATTGTGGAACTGTTGATTTCTCTTTTTATTGCTGTAGAGTTTACGTATTTTGGAGCCCTGTCATTGGGTGTGTATATATTTATTAAGTTATGTCTTCTTGGTGTATTGTCTCTTTAATCATTATATAATATCCTTCCTTGTCTTTTATGGTTGATTTTGCTGTAAAGTCTATTTTATCTGAGGTTAGTATTGCCACTTCTGCCCTTTTTTGGTTACTGTTTGCTTAATATATATTTTCCATCCTTTGATTTTTAATAATTTATGTCTATGTCTAAGGTGTGTCTCTCGTTGCAGCATACTGATGGTCATGCTTTTTTTATCCATTCTTTGTCTCTTTACAGGTGCATTTAAGCCATGTGCATTCAGTGTGATTATCGATAGATATGAGTTTATTGCTGTCACACTGTGCTTTTTTTTTTTTTTTGTGGTGCTGGCATTTTCTTTGTTCTTCTTACTTTCCTGTGCTGAGTTCCTTTTTTTGTGTGTGTGAATTTTCTTTTCATTTCTTTTGTTATTATAGATTTTGTTTTTACTGAGTCTTTATGTTTTTCTTCTTTTTTATTTTCATGAGTAAGTTGTTAGCTTTCTTTGTGGTTACCTTGAAATATACCATTATCTTTTTAAGTTTGAACTAGTCTTTTGTTACTTGATATCACCTTGACTTCCTCTCCATTTGAAAATTCTATACCTACACCATTTATTCTCCCTTTTATTGTTTTGACATTGTCATGATTTACAGATTGATGTCTGTTCCCCTGTTTTAAGTCTTTTAGCTTTGTTTTACTATTGAGAGTTCTTTACTTAGGTTGGTATCTGGCTGATGCTGTCCTGTGTCATAGACTCTGGTTATTGTCTGATGTTGTTGTTTTCTAACCAAAGGAGTCCCTTTAGTATTTCTTGTAAATTTGGTTTGGTTTTTATGAATTCTCTTAACTTCTGTTTGTCTGGGAATGTCTTGCTTTCGCCATCGTATTTGAGAGTTTTGCAGGATATATTATTCTTGGTTGGTAGTTTATTTTATCAAGGTTTTATATATGTCATCCCATTGCCTTCTTGCCTCTGTATAGTTTCTGCTGAGTAATCAGAGCTTAGTCTTATTGTTTCCCCTTTGTGACGTTTCGTTTTTCTCGAGCTGCTCTCAGGATTCTTTCTTTGTCTTTGGTTTTGGCAACTGTGATTATGCTATGTCTTGGTGACTTTTGCGGGGGGGTCTATCCTATATGGGGTTTGTTGAGCTTCTTGGATGGTCAGCTTTTTGTCTTTCATGATATTTAGGAAGTTTTCTGCCAGCAAATCTTCAACAATCTTCTCTGTGTTTTCTGTTTGTATCCCCTGTTCTGGAACTCCAAGCATGCACACATTTTTGGTCTTGATTGTGTCCCACATAATTCTTAGGTTTTCTTCATTTATTGTCTCTGATTTTTCCTCAAACAAAGTGGCATCCGTGGATTTGTCTTCAATCTTGCTGATTCTGTCTTCTGTTGTTTCAGGTTTGCTCCTAAAACCTTCTATTGAGTTGTCCATTTCTGAAATTTAGTTGTTTATCTTTTGGCTTTCTCATTGCTGTTTTTGTATGATTTCTAATGTTTTAGTTATTTTGACATTTTGTTCTTGTATTATTTTCTTAAATTCTTCTATTGCTTTGAGTTTTCCTTGATATTGGCTCTATTTTTGTTGGTTTTGTCTTTGTTTTCCTTGTTCTCTTTCCCAGTCTTTTGGAGAGCCCTAGATATTAGTCTTCTGAATTCCATACCAGGTAGTTCTAATGCCTTTTCTTCTACCAGGAAATTATCTGATTCTTTATTTGGGTCACTGGCTAGAGCCATCTTGTCCTGCTTTTTTATATGTTTTAACATTGTTTGCTGCCTCTAAGGCATTACGGTATTATTTTCTTTATTGATTGTATGTTTGTTTTCTCCTACTTTTTTGTTTTGTTTTGACATGTCAGTGTGGGTGTGCTCGCCATGCTTTGCTGCTTGCTTGTCTTTGGGCATGATAGTTCTCACTTCCTTGTCCAGGTAAGCAGGACAGTAGCAGACAGGGCATGCCCACTTCACCGTACACTGGTTTGGCGAAGTGGTTGGGGGTGGGCACTGTCTGCCTCCTGATGTTGGTCCAGTGGTGTGGGAGTGTTCACAGCCCTTTGCCAGATGGGCAGGGGTGTTGGATGGGTAGTGGACCAGGCTCGTTTCCCACTGTTCAGCAGCTGTTTCAGTGTTGGGAGGGAATAGGCAGTGTGGGCCTGATGTAGCGGCGGGCCTGAGTGCCAGGGGCTGGCAGAAGTTGGGGGAAGGTGGTGTATGGCATAGGTGGGAGGGAGAAAGAAAAGAAGAGAGAGAGAGAAAGAAACAGGAGCATAACATATATTACATGTCTTGCATAAGTATGACATGGTCTTCTGCAGAGGTTACACTTCTTAAGTTTCTCTATTTTTATCTTTAAATTTTAAAAAGCATTTGTGTTTGAGGCTGGATTAAAAAAAATCATATTATCTTTTATAGGGTTCCATTTACTACAATCAAGATGGCACCTCTTGGTATGAGGGAGACTGGGTGTACAACATCAAAAAGGGCTGGGGGATAAGATGGTAGGTATAAGTGCTGCCATGTTTGGGGTATGGATGAGAAAGTGTGTGTCGGCCCAAAAAATTTTCATGCAGGCTATTGAAAGGTAAGTAGAGGGTCAACAACAAAGAGGAAGACCCTTAACGAGATTGATTGACACAGTGGCTGCAACAGTGGGCTCAAACATAGCAAAGATTGTGAGGATGGCACAGGACTGGGCAGTGTTTTGTTCTGTTGTACAGAAGGTCACCATGAGTTGGAACAACTCAGCGGCACCTCACAACAACAACAATTTAAAGGTAAGGTACAGAAGTTACAGAGAACACACATCCTGCATATAAGCAGGGTCAAATATTTAAATTAATCTCAATCTAATCTCCATGGTGGTGAAAATATTTCACTGAAGATTTAGAAAAATACCAGGTTAAAAGATGTCTAATCATGCTGTTCCACTTTATTATATGTAGAAACTGCCTTTCTTTGTTCTGTAAAGGCATCATGTATTGCCATTATTTTCTTAGCTGTATGATATTTTCTAAAATTGTTGACATATTTACTTGACTTTAGATTGAGCCACTGGAATCAAATTCTAAGGATTAAAATATTTTGGAGCAAAATATGAACTGATCATAATAGTATTATGGGGAATTATTTAAGCGATTGGGGGAAAAAGCCACTCTTACCCACTTTGTCACCTGACTGAAGAACCAGGTTTACTTAAATGATTTATTCTGGCCCCCAAGATGATTATTTTTACAGCCCACATATCTATCCATTGAATTCAAATACAGGGAAGGTGGTATGGGCCCAAGGGTTGGATTTCTTAAAAGGTGTTTAGGGAGAAAGTTTAAGAGCAAGTCCTAAAGGTAAATGTTGTATATGAGATGATCGTTTTTAATCTGTTTATTTTGTCCTAGTTACAAGTCTGGAAACATATATGAAGGCCAGTGGGAAAACAACATGCGCCACGGGGAGGGGAGAATGAGGTGGCTGACCACCAGCGAGGAGTACACTGGGCAATGGGAGAGGGGGATCCAGGTACTGTGCACTCTGGTTCTCAGAAGTTTTATACCCAGATATGAGTACTTTGCTGAACCTTTGCACGTAGTGGTGATCTGAAATGTTGTTGCTAATTGCTGTTGACTTGGCTCTGACTCATGGCGACCTTATTAGAAACTCAGATTACTATATACTGGTCTAAACCTTACTTTTTTGTGTGTGTGGTATTTTTTTAAATTGTGCCTTAGGTGAAAGGTTACAGCTCACGTTAATTTCTCATACAAAAATTTATACACGCATCATTATGTGAACCTAGCTGCAATCCCCACAATGTGACAACACACTCTCCCTTTCCATCCCTGGTTTCCTGTATCCATTCAACCAGCTCCTATCCCTTTCTGCCCTCCCATTCTGCCTCCGAACAGGAGCTGCCCGTTTAGTCTTGTGTATCTGCTTGAACTAAGAATCACACTCCTCATGAGTATTTTGTTTTATAGTGCAGTCTAATCTTTGGCTGAAGAGTTGGCTTCAGGAATGGTCTCAGTTCTAGGTTAACAGAGAGTCCGGGGGGCATGTTTTCTGGGGTTCCTTTAGTCTCAGACCATTAAGTCTGGTCTTTTTACATGAATCTGAGTTCTGAACCCCACTTTTCTCCTGCTCTGTCAGGGACTCTCTATTGTGTTCCCTGTCAGGACGAACATTGGTGGTAGCCGAGCACCATCTAGTTCTTCTGGTCTCAGGCTGATGGAGTTTCTGGTTTATGTGGCCCTTTTGTCTCTTGGGCTAATATTTTCATTGTGTCTTTGGTGTTCTTCATTCTCATTTGCTCCAGATGGGTTGGGACCAATTGATGCATCTTAGATGGCTGCTCACAAGCTTTTAAGACCCCAGATGCCACTCACCAAAGTGGGATGCAGAACATTTTCTTAATAAACTTTGTTATGCCAGTTGACCTAGATGTCCCACAAAACCGTGGTCCCCAGATGCTTGCCCCTGCTACTCTGTCCCTCAAAGTGTTTGGTTGTGTTCACGAAACTCTTAAGCTTTTGGTTTAGTTCAGTTGTGCTGTACTTTTTGTTTAATATATATATTTTTTGTTGTTGAGAATATACACAGCAGAACATATACCAATGCATCAATTTCTACGTGTGCAATTCAGTGACATTGAATGCATTCTAAACCTTACGTTTTGATTGCTTTTTTATTATTTACTCTACTCTAATGGCCTCACACACATTAGGTTCCTTCATTGGCAAATCCATAATGCATATTGCTCCCGTAAGGACAGAAAGTTGTTATTTATTTATACTTCAGAAGCTACAGGGAGTTCCTGGGTGGTGCAGACATTTAAACGCCTGACTACTAGCCGAAAGGATGGTGATTCAAACCCACCCAGAGATGCCTTGGAAGATAGACCTGGCCATCTGCTTCAAAAGGTGACTTTGAAACCCTATAGAGTGCAGTTCTACTCTGCACACACAAGGCCACCATGTATTGGAATCAACTCAACAGCAACTAACAACAGAAGCTACATATTTTCTGCCCAGAAAACAAAAACTTTATATAGTTAATTTTCCATAATATATATAGTCAGGTATCTGATGATATTTTATATATTGATCTGGTAATTGGCAACCTTGCTAAACTCAACATAAAGGTTCTAGTAGCTTTTTTGCAGATTCTTTAGGATTTTCTATGTAGATAATCATATGGTCTGCAAATATAGTCAATTTTGCATCTTTCTTTGTAGTAAGTATGCCCTTTTTTGACCTTATTACAATGACTAGGACCTCCAGTAGAATGTTAAATAGGCATAGGGAGAGTGCACACACTCGTATTCTTTCTAATCTTAGTGGGAAAGAATTCAGCTTTTTATAAAGTCTGACGTTAGCTGTAGATTTCTTTTTTTTTTTCAAGGTTATGCAGTTTAATAATATGAGGAGTCCAGATCCAAACTCACAGCTGTCTGGCCAACACTAGATTGTTGCTAATAACATGTAAAAAACCCGAAAACCCGGAGAGCACAGACTAATCCTTGTCTGTGTCAAAATAGCGAGATGGTCTAGCCATCCAAAATGCATTGTCTCTATGGTAAGTGGGGACAATTAAAGTATCCTTGGAAATAGGCAACAGCAGGTATTTGAGGAACTGTCACATAACCTAGAGAAACTCCTTTTAACTAAACTATCAGAGGAGGTAGAAGAACCCAGAGAAACTGAGCCATCTCTTTCTGAAGAGAAAATTCAAAATGGCATTGAAGCATTGGACTTAAAGCTAATCTTCTATGCTTGGTGAAGCCACAGTAATTTATTTTGAAAGCTCAAGGGACAGTTTATTCCTAAAAGGGATCTCTGGAATAATCCAGTGTCTTTTGAACCCTGACAACCCTTATTTCCTTCTTAATACATGTAAAATTTTTGTTTAAATCAAAAAGAATAAACTTCAGTATTAGTTCTATTAGGGATTGGCATATGAACTCACACTTGCCAAAGACAGATTTTGGGATGGGTATTTTCTATTATGGTGCTCTTTTTCCATTGTTTTTCAAGTCATCCCTACATGTCACAATTGTTCTGAGATAGTGGCAACTGCCTTGATGACCACCTTAGAAGTAGGAAGCTATAAACTTTGTAGTCACACCCAAAATCTTGGCTATATCAATTATTACCTTAATCACCTTAAGCAAGACACTTAATCTCCCTAGTCTCAATTTCTTCATCAAGAAAGTGGAATTAAAATATTTATCTGACAAGGTTGTTTTCAGAATCAGGTGAAATAATGTAGGCAAGGCACCCGACACATAGTAGGTCCTCAGTAGTTAGCTATCATCATATTAACATTTGGAGTCCTGGTGGCACAGTTGTTAAGAGTTATGGCTGCTAACCAAGAGGTCGGCAGTTTGAATCCACCAGCTGCTCCTTGGAAATCCTATGGGGCAGTTCTACTCTGTCCTATAGAGTCACTATGAATTGGAATCAACTCGACGGCAATGGGTTTGGGTTTTTTTTGGGGGGAGGGGGGTTTATATTAACATTTAATCTATTTACAACATTTACTGTGTTTATTGATATGGTTGGGTTTAAATCTTCCACTTTATTATTTTCTTCTGTTTGTCCTTCTGGTTTTTTACTCCCTGTTCCTCTTTTCCATCCTTCTTTTGAATTATATCTTCTAATTACAACATCTGGGTCATTTTAGAATGGGTCTCAGTTGATTTTTTTTTTTTTTCCTAAGCCTGTTTCACATTTTCCTGATTCTTTGTACGTCAAGATGTTTTGGGTTCTATCCTGGATGCTGTGAATGTTATATTATGGAAAACTTGGATTTTGTTTTATTCCTCTAAAGAGTGTTTATGTTTTAGTTGTAGTGGGTAGTTGATTTGGTTGAATTCAAGCTACAAACTCTGTCATGTATGTGACAATTCAGATCTCAGATCAATTTTACTGTATTTAACTGAGTTGCGTACTGTCTGCCCTACACCATACGTACAGGAATCAAAGATTTAGGCAGTTTATACACAAAATCATGTCTCATTATCTCATTTTAGGGATCCCCCCTCACTTTCCAGCAGCTGTGGTTTCCTCAAACTCTTTCCTCTGGTTCTTCAGACCAGAAAGACTCTGACTTTTTCTTGGAGTTTTTGTTTCCCCAAACACAGTGACTTCAGCCTGTTCTCAAGCTAAAAGCCACAAACACGAAGAACTCACCCCATGCCATTCATTTCTTCCAAGTTTTGACTCCCTTCTTGAGTCTGCCTATTGCCTATTTTTGTTCATCTTCCTGTACCTTCAGAGTGTATAGCTTTTATCTGCGGGAGGGGAGAGCCTGGCAGAGGCTTACTTGACCGCTCATAACCATATTATTATTGAATTTTTGAAAGATTCGTAACTTTTGATCTCTGGAGAAACATTCTTGGCATCTGAGTCTGGTTTTATAGGATTTAGAGACAGATATTATGCACTAGGCATGACTGCAGGTTTTGTGTGTGTGTGTGCAGCTCATTTATAACCCACAATCTTCGAGGATGGTAGTTTTGTCTCTATTTAAAGATGAGTAGAACCTCCTGGAAATGGAAATGTGGGTAAACCAGCTCCAGCCTCGTCCAGGAGAAGATTGAGCGGGTTCTGAAGGAATTGCTTGGGCATACTTTGCTATCATGACTTGGGCAGTGAAGGCCAAGTAAACACCTCACTTACTCAAAAATGGCCCAGGTGACGGAAATTGTTATGGGTCATGTGTGTTGGAAGGATGGGAGATGAGGTGTTCATTTCTTCAATGGACCAAATTATTGCTTTAGTCTGAATTGCCTTGTCTATGAAGAACCATCCTGGAGGATGCTCCATATGGAGAAGTCACATCTCAGATTCATGGTTGAGACTCTAAAGTTAGGTCATAAGACTGGAATGGAACCATCCTGGAGAGCCACGCACCTCTTCTCTATCAGTCCACATAGCCAGTGTTTCATCCAGCCTAACGACAGACTATCAATTCTTCATTTGCTGAAATACCTGATAAGTCAGGATAAGTAATACTGGCACTATAACAAATAAACCCCCAAAACCTCAGTGACTTAAAGCAGTAAAAGTTTATCTCTTGCATATAAAAGTCTGTCGCAGACATTCCAAGTCAGCAGGCAGCCTTCCTCGTGGTCATTCAGGCACACAAATTCCTGCTGTCTTGAGGCTTCACCATGCCTTGCTGGGTCCTCTGTATCCAGCATGGGACCATGGGCAAGTGACTCCACCTTTCTGGGCCAGCTCTCTTCTTCTGGGGGGAGTCCTTGCTTGCTCTACAAGAGGAAGAAGGCAGTGAGCATTTACTGAGCCCTTACTGTGCACTAGGCACTTGATGTAAGACCTTCCGCAGTCCTAAAGGCCATCATTCTTTTGAGACTGAAGCAGCTCAGCTTCTTGAGTCCCTTGTCTCTTCAGCTTCTGCTTCCTGTGGCCTCTCGGCCCTTGGCCTCATGCCCGCATCTGCCCTGCTGGGGCAAGTGTTCCAAAGCTCAGTAGCTCCACCGGTAAGTGCCCAGAGGCACC